GTCGGGATTATTGTACGCGTTACGGCTGCCGCCGGGTTTTCGGACCGTTCCGCGCCGCGGAATACAATACGATTTTCCGTAAAACCAAAACAAGAACGTTCGAAATTTCCGTCGCGAGGAAGCCCTGCTTTTTTTTTGCGACAGTCAACAATAACAGTCGACTTTGGCCGGCGATGTCCGCGAGCGCGCGCGCTGGTTGCACAGTCGACATCGAACGATTGGTAACTGATGGTCATGAAAATAATAACCGGTGCTCTTCGAAAAAATTAAAACGAGACGAGACGAGAAACACAAGTAATTGATCTCATTCAAACCACCCCTCCGTAAATGGTTCACGGTCACATTCCCATCTGATATTTCCGCGTCCGATTAATTTTCCCGTTGTACGTTTCCCCGTACAATTCACCTTAATACCGAATACAAACAATAAAATAAGCGAATTTTAATAATTAATTTAATATAAATGTTATTGTATTATAAAATTAGTTTTTTTTTTTTTAAAGTTAATAAATAACAAAAGGGGTGTAAACCGCCAACTAGTAATGGTTGCCAGTCCCAAGCCCGGTAATGAGTGCGAGGGCGCTAATCTTAAAATAATTATTCTTGTATTATACTATTTATCAAAATTCGCTTATTTATTGTTTGTATGAGGTATGAATTTGACGGGGAAACGGTGACGGGAATATGTCAGTCGGTGAGGGGGGAGGAGACGGCTATGTGACCCGCTACCCCGTCGGTATGTCACTGTGTATTAATCCGGACTAATCTATACGCATGCAAATGCTGTTTCGGCACGATAAAATACTACGCGGGTGTGTGTGCTTGTTACACTGTGTACGCGCGATCGTATCGCCGAAAAACGGCAACGGTATCGTTTTAAAAGTGCATTAATATTTCGCCGATTTCCGACGGCATAATAATAGACATAATTATACGGCGTACAACAGCGTATAATTATAATGTCGTACACCCACTCTATACAGTATAATACCGTGCGTACGGTTAAATTTCGATTGTAAAGTCAATTGTCTTTATGCGGCGGTATTCGGAGTCGAGGCGTTAAAGTCTCTCTCTCTCTCTCTCTCGCTCTCTAGTGTATATTATATACGTATTGTTGTTGTTGTTGTTGTTTTTTTTTTTTTTTTTTGAAATCTCGTACCTAACCCATACGTGACTATCCCGTCAAATGTTCGCGGTTTACATGTACGCGTCGTAATTGTGGCTATTGATAAAATATAATAATAATTACGTTATACGCGGTTTCGACATTTTTTTTTTTTTTTTTTCATTTTATTTGTATACGATTTTAAACGAGCCGCCGTCACCAAATATCGCGTACGCGTAATAATATTTTAACCGATTAAAATGTTATTCCGTGTCCGCGAAAACCGTACAATAACACTACATATTTAAGTACTTATTTAATATAATCGTACGATTGCGGTTTAATAACAGAGTATAATACGTTTAATTATGGCGCACACGTTATTACACCGCGGGTACTTACACTAAACTACCGTACCAATTACGCGTATATTATTATATACTGTACATACTCTGTAATGTGTAACCTAGTTATACGTATTATAGGCATAAAAAACCGACACTGCTATAATGACGGGTGTGCCACTGTTTTCGGCGGAAAGTTGAATGGGAAAGGACGTATACGGCGATTGAATCCGTTATTAAATCTGTACGCGAAAAACGATTCTGAGCAGAGTGTTATTTCATTCGTGCTCCCCTCCCCCCCCCGGTTGCCGGAAGTCAACAAAAATCGTACGGAAAATCGCCTGTTTATTTCGTATTGGTTATAGGGTTTTTAATCGAAACAATATTTCCGGTAGGTGAACAATTCGTTCACAAAAACCAAAACAAATTTAAAAAAAAAAAAAAAAACACGTAGTAAAACCATTACACATTCTTCGCTATACTCGGGTCTAATATTATGAAAAATAATTTTATTTTGTTTTTCGACTTACTTAAAACAGTAAATTGCGTACAGTGTATCAATTAACTTACAAAATATTTCAACGGTTCAGTGCATGACGGGAAAATTCATAAAAATGTATAATTGCAGACTTTACGGTAGAAAATCTAGAAACTTTTCTGGGATAAATTCGTTTTTTCCGACTCTCGATATTCAATTCGCGTTTTGTTTTTTTTTTTTTTTCAATCTCGAATTTATTAAAAAGTTTATTTTTCCTGACGTTATCGGCCCTTCTCGCCGTACCGAACCGTGGTACTAAACGAGAGAAAAACCCGCTCGAAAGGGGAGGGGGACGTTCGGTTACAGAATCCGCGATTGTCCACGACGTGAAAAAAAAAAAAATAATACCGAAAAATCATAGTTTTAATTCGGATACGAAGCATTTACCGTAATCGTATCGCAGTTTACGTGTATATACTTCACAATACGCCCGGGTTCAATAACGCGGAATAATATTTCGCCTCCCGTACCGCCGCGCACTCAATTCGGCGGCGGCGGCGAGCCGTTCGGTCAAATAAAAATATTAATTAACCGAACGAAATTACACGGTGGACGTCGAATTATTATTAAAAAAAAAAAAAACCGTTTTACGTTTCGCGATTGACTGGGTCGCAATAATAATAATAATAATAATAAAAAAAAAATTAATAATAATTATCAAAACGGGTATCGGATAAGAAAAACGTGCGTCGATCGCCGCAATCGTTTTCCGTTAAACCGACGATATTATTAACAATATTATAATATTTACCGCCGCTGTAACCATTAGTTAGGTAGGTATAATACGTGTACAATACGGACGATAATAATATTATTTTTTTCTGTTCGGCGGATTCGAAAACGGGTTTTTTAACGAACGCGTGTAATACTTAATAATAGTAGAAAAAAAAAACCAATATTATTATAGCTGTCCGGAAAGTATATAATATATACGTATATATTATTATTAATGGCTAAACAAACGCTTTTGCGCGCATAATAAAAAAAAAAAATAAAAATAATAATAATAATAATAATAATAAAAAAAAAATAAAATAAAAACATCCATAGTTTTTTTTAACGAGTGACATTTTTATTAGAAAATTAAAATGTGCGCACGCGTGTGCATCGGTGCGACGTTGGTGGTTTGAGAAACGAGTCGCCGCCGCGAAAATATAAATTCACCGTAGGTATCAGATTATTGTATACAGGGTGATCGACGTGATATACCTGCGTGTTTAAACTCACGTCATCTCGGAAAGTATTGGTTTTTATAGACGATTTTCCGTTGTTTCTGCTACCGGCAAAACGTCCGACTCAATAGTCATACACGAGAGGATTTTTTCACGGATTCGGTGTCTGTGGCAGATTAAATCCTCTAGAAAGTCTTACCGTGCGTGGTATTCTAAGGATTCGATTCTTGCAATTGAAAATCCGGCACATTTAGTCCAACGAACCAATAGCCTCTCGCTTCTCTACGAATTGAAAAGACCGGAACCGGCGGACGTTTATAAGACATTTTTATTGTTTGATAATGATTTTTCTTTTAACCAGCTGTAACCCGTCGTATAAATCTGCAGATTTTCCACGACGTCTCGAAAGACTAGACGACTTGGTCCTCAGCGTAAAAGTCAACGGATTTCCTCCATTAACCACCGGCGAAGTCCTCTGGTGAATTCGCTCCGCGAAAAGTAGCGGACTTTTATTTTCTTGTTAGTGGGCATTAGCTAAGACCTAGTCCGACGAATCAAATCCATCGAGGACCTAAGTATTTAGTCCGCCGAACAATTACAGCCTGTCAGTATTGCAGTACGATATCCCGTCAAACGGAACTTACGAATTTAAAAACCGAATCGTATATTTTAAACTTGCACACGCTGTACATTTTATGTAATTTGTATTTTAGGTTGCGGTTTTTTAAAACCAAAAGCCAAAAGACGAAGGTGACGAACCGTAACGGTTGTATAACGTTTTGAAATACACTCGATTTTTAAGATTTCTAAAAGATTCCGAATGAAAATTAATACTTTCCGATATAATGAGTTGTCTTACGTTACGTTCGCCGCCCTGTATAAACACACCTATACGTGGAAGGAACAATTTATTTATTTCGGGTTTTTTTTTCGGCGTGCACATCACATACTCGCAATAATAATAATTAAGCGTGTATTATATTCAAAAACATCCGTTTGTTTTTTAATATATTTTTTTATTTTATTTTTGACGATAACACTAACAGACATTGTATATATTACAACCTGTCAGACTGTCCGACTGTACAGCGTTCACTGACGGCTATTTAATAATTTTTTTTTTTTCTATCCGCAGATTGGTTGAATGATGCAATATTATATATTATATTATTTTCCTTCGTTCTTCTCTAAATCCGTGCAATAACGACCTTAAAGAATTTTCACTAGGCGACGTGTGGCTCACACCTTCTCGCTCTCCATACCGTATAAAGCAATGAAGCGCGCTTAAATTTAAAACAATTGCCGAAAAGAAAATCTTAATTGGTGAAATTTTAAAAAAATTGAATGAGTGCAAAAAACAAAGAAGCACTTGTAACCATACCCGAGTAGATTACAGACAGTACTAAGTGTGTGTAAAATGCAATGGAATTCGTCGTCGATTGATATAATATGGAAATAATTTGAAAAAAAAAATAATATGTTTTTAAAACAGTTAATTCTAAATTACCCACTATTATTATCATTACGAAAGCTCACCGGAACGAATTCGTATGTGACCTGTGCACAACCAGGCAAACGATTCGGTAATCGGCAACCAAATCGCGGTCGTCCGTAAACGCGTACACATTGTCGCCGAACAAGCCACGTGCGGGTAGATTCAACGATATACTTGTAATACGAGAGGTAATGACAGACACTGCCGAAGGGAAAGGCCTGAACGGTTTTCCCCACGGAGAGGGGGAGATAATTTACGTACTGCACGGAGGGTAACAAAGCGTCAAAAATAATTTATGTCGTATTTTCAATTGATATATGGGGAGGCGTGAGATTTTTGGGAATCCATGACGGGGACGTGGAACAGAAGAGTCGAGAAACGCTGCTACACCGCGACTACTGGAACTTGGAGGAGAGCAAAGACAGAGAAAGATCCTATGTATTGGCGGCGTGAACGAGTAGAACAAGCAGCAAACGTGCCGAACAGAACACAGAGAGGAGGAGAAGAAGAAGAAGAAGAATATCGTCCCCGACTACGACTACGCAGTCCTATTATTTATTATTTACACCGTCGACACCCTTTGCCGTCCGGCAAATGTGCGCGCACGTATAATAACAACGACCTTCGCCCGTAAGAGTTTCGGAGTTTTTATAAAACATTACAAAAATTAATAACACGCAAATATTCGCGTGCGTATGATAATAATTGTATTAATCGATAACACGCGTTAACGCGATATTTTATTATTATTATGCAGGCGTGAGCGCGTGCGTGTAACGCAAATGTAAGTCAGTAGGGAAATAAACGCGCGCGCGTCCTTGACGATTCCAGAATCGTGCGAACCGATATATAGGTAGGTACTGAAAAAAAAAAATAATAATAAATAAATAAAAATACCTAATATATAAGGTAATAACACGGCTCGGCAATAATATCGTTATATCGGTAAGTACGTAATATTTTTATACATATATATATTTTTTTTTCCATACAATAACGCGTGTACCTCTTACACCTATACGCGGTGACGAAACAACGCGATCTCTGCGCAACCGCGGTGCAGAGAGAATATAAAAAAAAAAACCGTAATTATCGACTAGGAAACAATATACGCGTACGAGAGAGCTCGGATATTGTCGTTATTAGTATTCCCGTCCGTTCGCTGTTGGTATATTGCAATGGCGGCGCATTCCTGAGACGATACGAGGACGCGGCGCGCGATTATATTATTATTGTTGCGCAGATACGATCGTCTCCGGGCGGTGGCGTCATCGGTTGCTGTCCGGTGTTTTTTTTTTTTTTTTTTTTTTTTCTTCTGTAATCGCGATTTTTATCGTGGCGAGGGGTCGTTGTTTTCGCCGGACAGAGACGCGCCGTACAGGGCGGGCGGTCGCCGCGGTCCTCCGTGTATGTTTCACGACAATAACGAGGAGGGACGTCCAGAGTCGTGTGTACAGGAACGCGACCGCCGGCGCCAAAATACGCGCGTAGACGTTCGCCCCGTAACAGTTACGATGTTACCGTCCCGGCGTCCGGGGTTTTTCGCGGACGGCCAAAGAAGACCAAACACGGCGGCCGGGCCGGCCCGACGGCGCGCGTCCGTAAGGAAACGAGGAAACACCCGAGACCCGCCTACGGATAATTCCGGATCGCCCGTATTGGAAATGGGTCGCGCGACACGCCCGGGACCTCGCGGGCGTAGATCGTGTGGACGTGGCATATTGTACGGGAGGAGAGCGATTGACGGCGTTGGACACGGTAAATCGGAACAAAGCGATACGGGATACGGATTGGCGGTTCCATATTAGTGAAGGCCAAAGGCCTTGAAGAGTCAGTTGTAATGAAAAAAAAAAAAAAAAATGAGAGACGGACGGATCTCAACACGCGATTTGTATTGCGATCCGGTTAAAAATTATACTGTTTGGACAGTGGTTCCGACTTCAGGGTTCTGCGTTTTATGTTGTCGTCCCGTACGTAGCGAACGTTTTTTTCAAACCGAAATTATAATTAAAATGCGATTTTGTAAAATCTGTCCGGTGGTTAATTAGTATATTGTATGATAGCAGTAATATCAGAAAGAACTAAAATCATAAACAAAACAACACGCCCGTGAGCGGGTAGAGCTCCGTCGCAATAATTGAATTTCCTCCGCCTGTTTTGTATTTTAGAAATAATATGTTCGTACAAATATACGTCTAATACGTATAATACGAGTACAGTAATACGATACTTTAAAATACCTATTATATTGCTTCCGAAACAAATAAAAGGGGCGAAATTCAGCGTACAAATTGTAGGGGCGGGGGATTGAAAGCATCGAAACATCCCAAAATACACTTTTCAATTTCGCTGGTCGCGTTTAGGCAGGCTTGTAGGACCGTTCGAAGCTTAAAAACGCCCTGCCCCTGTGACGACGCGGTGAAATTCCTATCCAACACCCTTATCGCGTCAGTGCGCCCATAAAATAAAAAACGACTCCGAGTTTTAGGTCCGCGCGGGGGAATCGCTAAAAACGTACGCGAATGTACCGGTGAAAAAAACCCGCGGACACAGCGCGCTGTAAAAGTCTCCGTTTTCGGGTTGAAACTCGGCTGAAACACGTCGGGTTACGTCGGGCATATAACGCGGCGATCGGTTACGACAATATTGCATGATATTGTAAAAAAAAAAAAAAAAAAAAACGATAACAATCGCGGTTCGGAAACGTTTTAAAAAACGTACGGGAATCCTTAAGCACTGCACCGGTCCCCATTATCCAATGACAGCGTTTTAATGCGCGATTTTACAATCGACACCCGAACACATACACCGCGCAGTGGACGTTTTCATTGACACTCGGGCAGAAATTTCATTAAAATTAAATATAGCGCGGACAAAAATCAATTCAATTGCATATTGGAAAAGAGTCTGTGCTTAAAATCGAATATATAATCGGTAACTGCTTACGAAAAAAGAGACGTAACTCGATACCTATTTAAAAATTACGAAAATTCGATACCGAGGAAATACAATACAAGGTTAGGTTTAACACGGGCATATAATATAGGTACGCCTACTGGCGTGCATAATAGCTCGCGAATTGTATTATTTATGCGCAATACAGTAAACGTACGTGTGCGTTGTATACGCTTTTATAAACAAAGGCGTACTTGTGCTCGCGCCCATACTATTTTTTTGCATTTTAACGCCCGAACGCGCTGTCGTTTTAGAGGGATTCGGGGGCGCCCGTCGAACGCTCTGCGTGTAGATTTCGAACGGGTAAAAGTGCCCGAACGTGCAGCACACCGACAATGATAACAACAACAATATAATATTGTACTTTTGGCCGTATCGCGGCGTGTACGACGTAATATCGGCTGTTCTTAAAAAAAAACAAAAAAAAAAACTCGGCGACGACGATTTAACCGTAACACGACGCAGTACCCGTTCGTCACCGAAAACCGCGCGTCTCGAAGTTACGACCGTGGCAGTATGGTTAGCACCGCGCGGCGATTTTCGCGGATTTCTAATTCGTGAGGAGTCCGTCCGCCGCGCCGTCCGTTATTCGATATCACGAAACCCGGTCCAATTATTTAACGGATTCACGTTTAAACGGTTCAATACGCGGACGTAGGTATACGACGACGGTATTCCGTATCGCCGTAACCGCGGCGTGGGAACGTTTTGTTACTGTCCGACGACGGGGTCCTCGGCGGTACACATCATCATCATCATATTGTTATAGGTTTTTTATTTGAATAACGCGTAGTCGTCCTGCAGTCCCGCGCGTATACCGGGCGTTAAAATCGGGTTTGCTAGAAAGCGCTTTGGCTGGGCGCCGGCGGATCGGCGGCGATTTCGATTTTATAGTTCCGGAAAACGCGCGACTTCGTGTATTTCAACGTATTCAAAAAAATTCGCCCAGGAACTTTCGAGTTGCTGTACAATTTTAAAATTGTGCAATTACAAGAGTCGAATTTTACAATATAAAAGTCGAGAGAACAATATTTCAAAGAAATTTGGCTGATTAAGAAAACAACCAATGGTGTATAAACTTATTTAGATTATTTTCGGTACGGTAAACATTTTTGTTCATATAAATACGGCACGGAGTTAAAATAAACAGGCGATGGATAATTACCGAAAGATGTTTTAATAAGTATCGGGTACTTATTAAAATACCTAAACCACTTCGCATAATAATAATAATTATAATAACTATTGATTCGGTGAGAAAAAATAATTTTTGCGTCTACATTAGTTGTCTAGTAAGTATGGTTTCTCAATAAAAATGTTTAAAGAATTAGGCAAATTTTTAGATGTTGACTTTTCGAAAAAATGTGTCATAGAATGTTCTTTTTCAGATGACATACTTGTATCGATGTTCAATTCTCGTCTAAAAGTATACACACAATCCATAAATGGTTTAATGCAATTAGACGAGAGTTTAAGAAAACGACTACTGACATAAATAAATTTAACATAAAAATTTCAATGAATAAGTTGAACATAATTAATGTATGTGTGCAAGAGTAATTAAAAAGTATACTGTTTTCGTGTGAATGTAAATTAATATGTATTGTCGTAGCAGCTCTGAGCTATTATCAACTACTATAGTCAATTAGAAATTAGCATTATTGTTACTATATGTTTAGTTTAATTTTAAATACAACGTGTTATTATATGCATAGCAGACACAATTTGTGATTTTTTTTCAGTTGGTAAAGTTGTTGGTGAACAAAATCAAAAACTTAAAAGAGAACGGCTAAGAAAATAGACACAGAGAAAACATGAATTAGGAATTTTTAATATCCTCATGATGAACGAACTCGGTGTTGAAGACCCCAAAATCGATTAGATTCCAAACATATCAATAGAGTTAGTCGCCTCCCTCCAGGTTCCGATGGCCGTGCCGGGACGAGAGCACAATAATTAGACAAAACGATTTAATTCAACATATGTATATATGAGAAAATTAAATAACATATTAAATCAACAACAAAAAAACTGTTCTATGATAATAGGGGCGGGAGCAGCCACTGTTATCGGTGAGAAGTTGGAAAGGTAGTAGAGAGGAGATTTAATGTATGTCACAGTAAGCAGTTACTTACTGTGCTAACGAAAAAACGATTCTGAACTGGGCGTTCGGTTGATGGTGTTCCTTTGTCAACAGTATATACATGTCATATATATGGTACAATAATTACGCAGGCATTATATATTTTCTTTAATAACATTTGTTTAATATTGTTTTACTATTTTCCCGTTTTTCCTACGTTTTCCCATGTTTTTTCCCGGTTTTTCCCATTTGTCGGGAACACTCCTGGGAAAATCAACATTTAAGTACCATCAGTCAGATTTCCATTCAGAAAAAACGCTTTAATTGTATACCGGAGTAAAATTACCGGTAGAAATCACTGCGTTATTTTTTTACTTGTAAATAGTGACGTGATGGATCGAAATCACTGAACCAGTCTATGGATTGAAAAAAAGAACACTGTGGCGTATGCGTTCTCTGTTTGTTGGTGTACCGTTAATATCGAATACTATTTTATTAACAATATTATCGTAAACTACGTGAAACGAACGTGGGGTTTTCGATCGCACGTAGTCAACATTATAATGAAGTGAAAAAACAATAATATAATAAATTCT